GCAAAAGCTGAGAAAATTACCAAAAAAGTAAACATATATTGTCCCCAACTTTATAGTGAGGTCTAAAATAAATAGGTCTGTTGCTATAAAGTGCTTTTTTTTTTCACCTATATTTAGTTTGAGCTTTAGTAAAGCATTGATAAGGAATCACACGCATTCTTTCCATACATTAAAAAAAGTGTATTATGTTAGACATATATCAATGGATGTGTGAGTCGGGCCATTTTTAACAATAAGATTTAGTTAAACTCATTAGAGTTCATTTAAGGTTAATATGAATTTTTAGAGTGGCTTTTAGTTTTCTTTCCTTTACTATATTAACTATATAAGGCTAAATATCATTCTTGTTCACAGAATTCCTGAAGAATCTGTCAACTTCATAATCACATTCCCTCTGTCCACATAGGTAAAACCCACATCATTTTTGAAGGATTCAAAATATATCCTAATTCTCAGACCTTCTCCATTAGACTCTAAAACTAAAAAAATATGAATGCCCAATAACTATAGTTTGAATAAGAAAAATATCCATAGTCCAAAGAAATTATATCAAATTCATGGAATGCCTGGGTGCCTCAGCGGTTTAGCATCTGCCTTCAGCTTAGGGCATGATCCCAGCCTCTGGGTATTGAGTCCTGCATTGGGGTCCCTGCAGGGAGCCTGTTTCTCCCTCTTCCTATGTCTCTGACTCTGTTTAGGTGTCTCTCATGAATAAATAAATAACATTTTTTTTAAAAAATAATTATATCAAATTCACAAGTTTTAGACTTCCAAAATTTACTCTGAGATGCATACTGAGCTTTTTTAAACCTGTCCAATCAAACTTAACAAAAATTCTACTCAATAATGTATAAACAAAAACATAAAATATTGCAGAATAAATTAGTTTATTGGATTATAATCATTCAACTTTTTATCTATTTGGAGCAGGAAATAAATTAGCATGAACTGCATCCATAATGCTGATATTACACGTGTTTTGGAGTTAAGTCATTAAATCAAAAAGATGCAAGAATCAGTCTGTTAGACTATGCTTGATGGAAAGAAATTGGGTAAGGAACTGGTGATCAAAGTTTAAGACAGTTACCCCTGGAAATGATGAGCATGATGAAACTCTGAGTAGGCATTTTGATAACTTTGCATAAATGTACTAGAACTCAACAAGTTGATTAGCAGAAGCCAGATAGATAGGTAGGTTGGCAACAAATCCCTGGTGGCTACTACAAGCAAAGTCAGTTGGGTGGCAGAAATTGGATCCATAGCTCAGGAAAGAGAAGCCACAGACTGTAATCTACCACTGGATCGACAGTCCCATGAATAGCAGCTTCTCGATCCATAACCTAGAGAGAGGCTGGTGTTGGACCCATAGATACAATATAAATTGACTGGCAGGGACTGCAGAGCATGGAGACCCTTGGGTGGCAGCAGAATGTCTGATAGAGGCTGGACACCACATAGGATGCTTAGCAGCTGGTGGGCTCACAGCAGGTCTCCTGACAGTCACTATAGAGAGAGGATCCCAGATGACAGGTGCTGGGAGAGCAGAGGTCAGTGTTGTAGACCAGATTTTGAAGGTAAGAGCCACAGGAGGAGCCTGGGTAGGTAGCTCAGGACACTTCCTCCCCCCGCCCCCCCAGGAACTGGAAGGAGAATTTTCTAGAGCAGCAACTGTGGGACGTGTTGGCAGGAGATAAGAGTTCTGATTAGTCACCGTGAGAAAATTCTGAGATTTTAAGATGATTTTGTGCACTAGATATTTTACATACTCATCAGTTGATATGACACAGTTACAGATACAGTCCTCTCATATCATCTGTGCATCCTCTTCTGCATTTGTGTAATTCATTAACCTTCTCTGTCATTGCAGTTGACTAACTTCTTACCTGTTGTCCTTATGGATACAATGAATGCAATGATCATTCCTATCTCAGTAATTCCAGAACTATTTGTCAGTAATCCTCAACCTTCTATGGCCAGGAAAGCCTCTTCTTCTCTCGCTGGCTATGACTCCATGTATATCAATTCCTGCTTTGCTCCAGGATACTTTCTGTCACTTTTCTACTATGTCAAGTGCTAAGTGACATAGCTTTATTTCTTATAAGGATACTTCTAGTGATTGATTCCACTTGTCACCACTGATTTACATTCTCCAAATTTATTCTCCATCTATCACATATTTTATAGCACTTCTCACATCCAATAGAAGGAAGAAAAATAACACATAATGGAATGTGGCTAGAAATAGGAAGGAGTCAAACATTTAAAGGCAAAGAGATTCAAAAAGACTAAACAGAGGTGGAGTCACAAGAAAAGTTTGACTCAGACCATTTGAAGAGGGAGCAGAGATGATGGTGACAATGTAGTTATCTAGAAAAAGGAAATGAAGAGACAGGGATTTCAATGATCTCTTCTACCTACTTTTAGCCTAATGGATCTTTTAATCTAAATGACATTTAAAACAAATACTATCACATATTTTAATTTTACATTATCCAAATTTTTAAAGAATCTGGGGCCTCCTCCTAGAACAACTCAGCCTCTCTACTGCTCAGTCTGAATGAATTTTGTGCATTTTCAAAGTCATTTCCTTTCCTGTAATTTCCTCCAAAAATATAAAATAGGTGTCCCTGTATGGCTCAGTTGGTTAAGCAACTCTTGATTTCAACTCAGGTCATGATCTCAGGGTCATGAGATTAAGACCCCCATCAGGCTCTATACTGTCTGCTTAAGATTCTCCCTCTCCATCTTCCTCTGCCTCCCCCACCTCTCTCTTTTTCTCAAAAAAAAAAAATATATATATATGTATATATATAATAGCCTTATTTTATCACTCTTCATTTTCTTTTGAATAGTACAATAACTGAGTATTAATTTCCAATGGGTTCACTATGTCAGATAAATTTGCACTGAAATAAATACTAACAGATTTTTGGAGGGCTGAAGGAAAACAATCTTAGGTGGAAACAATTCCAAGAAAGATTAGACATACTATTTACTAATTGTATTCTCTAGGAAGCAAGCACCAAGACACGGATAGAAGAAAAAAAGTTTGTAAGAGTAGAATGAAAAAAGCCATTCTACCACTGGTTCTAGTCACTGACCAGGAACTGCCACGAAGAGAACTTAACCTTGGCTTAAAAGCTGAGGCAGAGTCCAAAGAAGCCAACACAGAAAGCCTGTCTGCTGGCCTCCCTTGTCACAACCAAGCAGCCATTCCTTTTGTGAAGAGATGTGATGTGCATTCCAGTGCAGATCTGTACCTGTTCCAGTTCACTGGTTGCACCTTCAGGGTCAACTTGTCAGGAAAGAGATTCTTCATGGCTCGGCTATGGCTCTTTTTGCAGGGGAACTATAAAAGGGCGGTGCCAGTGGCATGAAACACGGTCCCCGTCCCTGCATTTGGTCTTGGAGCTGCAGCTGCTGCTCACCATCTCCCTCCTTCACTATCCATTAGAGATTTGTCTCATCCTTAGTTACCACCTCTGGTGGTCATGGTGGATTTCTTGGTGGTTGTACCCAAACCTCATTCCTTAGAAGTATGAATCCTGGTAACTGTACCTTTTTCTTGCTAGAGTTGCTGCATTCAGCAAGTTATGTTCACAGTTGGATGGAAGGTTCCAAGACCCACTCAAGGAGATCAACTGAGCTTCACAGGTATTTCCCTTTCCTTCATTGTGTAACAGCAACCCTACCACTTTCTACTAATCATAATCACCTCCCCTCGGATAGATGACAACTCCTTTTTTTTTTTCCTTTTGGTTTCTGAAAACAAGGAGCCCAAAGTGCTCAGGCAGCAGCTGTAGTTGTAGTTCAGTGAGATTTGAAGTGTTCCTCAGCAAGTCTGCCTTTGGGCAGCAGACTTTAAAATTCCAGCTACAGAAATAGGAAGCACAAAGTTCTTAAATGGGTCTTTAGAAGTGAAAGGTGGATATTTGGAGCCCAATCTTTTGAGGATAGAGCCTCCATGCTAATACTTCAACTTTACAGTCAGTAGACCAATCCAATGTACCATCAGACAGGCAGCTTCAGAGTGGTGTGGGTTTTTTGATAAGCCTGTGGATCTCACTTATACTCTCTCTACTATGAAGCAGATTTCCTGAGTGGATGCTACATTGTGAGCAGTCCATGCTGGTAGAACAAGGTATTCATTAACTCCTGAATAATGGTGCTGCTGAGGTAAGCATAAGAAGCAAACTCATACTCTAAATACATATCTATACATTTGAGAAAGAACACTGAACTTTCCAGGGCAGAAGAGGACCACATACAACTTGTATAACCAAGCAGCCAGTTGGTCTTGAGTACTAAAATTATGCTGGGATTTTAGCATTAGCCTCCATTGCCAAGATTGGATATTCAGAGGTGGCATTAATTATATCAGCCTTGTAAGTAGGAGCTTATGATAATGGACCCATCCATAGCTTCGGTGGTTTCTTGTTCAGCTTATCTGCATCATAAGGACAGCTGACAAAGGTAGGCTCACATTAACTGGCAGAGTCATTTTATCTACTTGATTGTTTCATTCCTCTTCCATGGTGGATGCAAAAGAAGAAACACACAGATCACACTTTGTGCCCACCTGCATGTGTCTATCTACATGTCTACAAACCAGATTTCTTTGTACCGACTTTCTAATATTCTCCCTTCCAGGTCCCTACCTAGCTGATCAGGCCAATTGTCCATGAATCTAAGATGAATCAGATGTATTTTCCTTTTGTCAGCAAACATGAAGGTCCCATATCCTTTGGAGTAAACATGCTCTATATTTCTCTGAGGTTATTGTTCATATACAATTTATGCATGCAAAAAAATTCCAAAATAAAAATTTTAGAGAAAAAAGGTGTCTAAAGCCTCAAATAAATTAGTTCAAGTTTATCAATCTATCAGACTTCCAGAATTTGTTCCCAGAGACTTAGTAAACATTAACTTGAATACCTCCAAAAAAACAAAAGAAAAAATAAAATTACCCAATTGAAACTAACAATAAAATAAGCAAAAAATTTGGAAGCCAGAATGAGTTTATTACGTTATATTCATAAATGTTTTCATCATTCTTTTGAGTAAAGTATATCAATAAGAATCCCATTAATTCATTAACATTAGTTCATGTTTATTAACATAAATTCCATTAATTTATCTCACAATTTATTTCATTAATTCCACTAATTTTATAAATTCATCCAATAAGATTAAATATATGTTAGGGACAGTTTTTTGGCCAATACTTTCTGGCTGGAAGAAAGTTGACTGGATAGTATTTCTTGAATATCATAAAGATGATAAACTCTCTGTTTAGAGGTTAGACATATTGCTCAAAATGCCTGGACCCTCAACAAGTGGATCTATAGAAGCCAGATCCACATGTTGGTCTGAAACAGGATGACTGGCAGCTCCTGGAGGTGAAGAAGGTTGGGCGGCAGAATCTGGATCCATAGCTCAGGGAAGGGAAGCCACAGACTCCAGAACCCAGGGATCTGAAACCCTTGGATCCACAGCCCACTGAGTAGCAGCTTCTGGATCCATAGCCCAGGGAATGGCAGCTGCTGGTCCCAAAACCCAGAGACCCAGAGCAAGTCGTCTGGCAGGGACTGCAGAGCGTGGAGGTTCTCGGGCTGGTAGCAGGATGTCTGGCAAGGTCTGGACACCACACAGGATGTCTGGCAGCTGGTAGGTTCACAGCAGGTCTCCTGACAGCCACTGTGGATGGAGGAGCCCACCTGGCAAGTGCTGGGAGAGCAGACGTCAGTGCGGTAGACCAGGTTGCTGCGGTGGAACGAGCCACAGGAGGAGCTGGGGTAGCGCAGGTATCCCCCAAAGGAGCGGGAGGAGAAGTTTCCAGAGCAGCAGCTGTAGGACATGTTGGCAGGAGATGTGAGTTCAGCTGACTGACAGTGAGAAGATTCTGATGTTGAATGTCATCTGCTAGACTGGGGCACTTTTATACTCTCAGCCACGGGTGTGGCATTTTTTACAGTTGCCTTTCCCACACTTGGAATCTCTCATTCCATATGTGTAATTCAATGATATTTTCTGTAATTGCAGAGGATTCCTTCCATCTCATACTTACAGAATTCATCATGTTGTTATAGCACCAAGCCAAAGAACTATTCCAAAGTCAGAAATGCTATGACTGTATGTCATTAATGACAGCTAATCATGGCCAGAAAAGCCCCTACTCTTCTCCTTGGATGAGACTCATTTTGCCTTTGCCCCTATGTTGGCTGGGGAAATGCTTAGATCTAAAGACAGAGATTGAGATTGTCTTTTTTTTTTTTCTACCTCAGTGGAATAGAGGCACCCTATTTGTCACCAATGATTTTCTTTTTGTAAATTTATTTCTTCTCCTAAAATTCATTTACATATATTACATTGTATTACATATTGCCTCTCAAATCCAATGGGAAAGGGAAAATAGATAAGACAAATTGATCGAGAAACATGGTGGATCACAGAGATGAATCAGGACAAGTATTTAAGGGCAAAATGACTAAGTAAGACTAATTTGAAAGAGTCTCAGTGTATACCAATTTGTACATATGAGAAAAATCCCAAAAAGTCAAATAGTCTTGAGATAAGAGAAGATAACTAGTGACACTATAGATCTTCCCATTTCTGTGTAATTCCAATAAAAATGGGTTCTGGATCAGTGTAGTTTATGGCCTTTCGTATATACATTGTCCCTTTGCAACCTGTCATTACAATGTGTCCAGTGATCCTACTCTCCTAGAACAGCTCTTATTACATATTTTTATCTTAGATTCTTTCCTTCAATTGTCTCCTTCATTGTAAAAACACTTTTTTCCTACTACACTTCTTTAAGATTATCTTTCTACTATAAAATATTTTCTTTTATAGAGCTCTCCACATGAAGCAAACCTAAGCTAAAACAAATACTGAAGTGTTTTCTCCAGTTAGGAAGACAATTACCTCAGAGGGGAACTTGTAATTGAAGGAAACAATAAAAAGGATTGAAATGTAAGTGAGTTGTCTAAATATTCATTGTTCATAACACTAATAAAGTGATTTGTGGTTCTGAGTATACAGGTGGAAGTAAATAGTAATCGAGAATGATCACGAAAATCTCTTGAAAACTTACTAAAAAATTTAAAGATTATAAAATAATAACTTAAAAGGGTAAAGTTATAGCTTTAATCATTTTACTACTACTCCTGAAAGTGTGAAAATTTACTATTACATAAGTAAACGTGTAAGTAGAAATCTAGATCTTAAAGTATCGATAATTAAATATAATACACTAAATAATCTATATAAAAGACTTAGAATATCATATTGGACTAGAAATCAAAACTACTTTTTTAAACATTTTATTTATTTGATTGAGAGATAGAGATCACGAGCGGGGGAGGGGGGAAGGACAGAGGGAAAAGCAGACTCCTCACAGAGTAGGGAGCCTGAAGCAGGGCTCGATCCCAAGACTCTAAGATCATGACCTGACCTGAAAGTAGATGCTTAACCCACTAAGCTACATAGGCACCTGGAAATCAAACCTATTTTCTACTTAAAATAGATTTTCCTAAACATAAGGAAACAGAGAAAGGAGAAAGTAAAAAGATACATCAGGAAAAAAGAAAGAAGAAAGAAAGAGAAAGAAAAAGAAAGAAAGAAAGAAAGAAAGAGAAAGAAAGAAAGAAAGAAAGAAAGAAAGAGGAAAGAAAGAAAGAAAAGAAAGAAAGAAAGAAAGAAGAAAGAAAGAAAGAAAGAAAGAAAGAAAGAAAGAAAGAAAGAAAGAAGAAAGAAAGAAAGAAAGAAAGAAAGAAAGAAAGAAGAAAAGAAAAGAAAGAAAAGAAAAGAAAGAAAGGGAAAGAAAATGCTACTTCCATTTTACTAACTTCAAAGTTTGCTATAAGATATAAAGCATCATGTTATTAGATGTAATACAAAGATATTTCTTAACAGTCATTCTGTCAACCTTCCAGGATGATATCCATTATTTTTGTATTCATTTAGAGGTTACCCCAACACCACACCATCCAACCATCCAACAGAGTAGCCACTAGCCACATATATCAAGTTCAATTTATACCAATTAGAATTAAGTTAAAATAAAAATTTGTGGGATGCCTGGGTGGCTCAGTGGTTGAACACCTGCCTTCGGCTCAGGGTGTGATCCTGGAATCCCAGGATCAAGTCCCACATGGGGCTCCCTGCAGGGAGCCTGCTTCTCCTTCTGCCTGTGTCTTTTACTCTCTCTGTCTCTGTGTCTTTCATGAATAAATAAATAAAATCTTTTAAAAAAATTTTGTTCCTCAGTTATATTAGCCACATTTCATTTGCACAATAGATACATGTGGCTGTGGGATATCATATATTAGAAAATGCAGACAAAAATATTTTGGGTGCCTGAGTGGCTCAGTCGGTTGAGTGTCTACCTTTGGCTCATATCATGATCCCAGGGTCCTAGGATCAAGTCCCACACTGGGCTCCCTACTCAAGGAGGAGTTTGCTTCTCCCTCTCCCTCTCCCCTCTGCTCATGCTTACTCTCTTTCTCTCTCTCTCAAATAAATAAATAAAATCTTTAGGAAAAAAAATATTTTCAGCAACACAGAAAGTTCTATTGGACAGCACTGCCTTAAAGTTCACAGCATGCCTTGTTGACTTGCTAATAGAAATGAATACTTTTACTATTTCTAGTTCAGTGCAAGAATGTCAGAAAGCTTGAGGTCAATTATCCTTATTCCAAGTCATGTACTACTATGGTAGGATTTTCTGTAATGCAATTTCATGTATGCTTATGCATATTGATATATATTTGCCTCCATGTTTTTATGACCAAAATTTGCTTAAATTTACCCAATATATGTATATTGTATTATTTATTATAATAATTATATATACAACCAATTTACTCTATATTTTTTAATTATACATAAAGATATATATCTTGTTTACTCTTCATTTCTTCTTACATCTTTTTCTATGTTCTGGGATTATTTTGCTTCTGATTAGATATAATTTCTATTATATATTTTAGTTATGAAAGGCTAGTAACTCATTATTTACAGTTTTGATTATCTGAAAATGTCTACATTCCCCCCCCCCTTTTTTTTTAAAGGGAGCAAGGCAGTGGGGAGGGACAGAGAGAGAATCCCAAGCAGGCTCCATGCCCAGCCCAGAGCCTGACTCCAGGCTTGATCCCATGACCTTGAGATCATGACCTGTGCCAAAATCAAGAGTCAGATAGTCAACTGAACCACCCAGGTGCCCCCTCCTCATTTTTGAAATATATAATCATTAGTCAAGTACTCTAAAGTTTTCTTTCTTCAGAAATTTGAGGATATTTGTCTTCCTACTTTCCTTTTTCTGTTTAGAATTCAGCTGTCAATCTTACTATTGCTTTAAATTTGTCTCTTCATCAGTGCATCAGTTTGACGCCAATATATTCTCTTTGTTAGTTTAAATATGTTCTCCATAACAAATCTCTAATTGTCTCTCAAGCTATGTATAATGTATTTTCAATCCATTCAACAACTTACATTTAACTTATTGAATCTTTCTTTCTTTCTTTCTTTCTTTTTTTTTTTTTTAGGGAGAGGAAGCATGAGTAGAGGTGGAGGGAGGGGCAGAGGAAGAGGGAGAATTTTGAGAGAGAGGGAGGATCTCATGACCCTGAGATCATGACCCTAGCCAAAATCAAGAGTTGGACACTTAACAGACTGAGTCACCCAGGCATCCCTCTACTTGGTTCTTTTAATGTGCTTCTCTCTCTCTTAAAATTTTAAATCTTTTTAATTCTAAAGTGAATTCTACTACCTGACATATATTTTGGATTTATTTATTTCTTCACTTATTGAAGTATGGTAAATTTCCCTAAGGTATCAGATGATCTATATCTATGTCATCTATCTATGTATACCATCTATATACTCATCTATGTATAAAACTATACAATTATATCTATACCTCTAAATCTATACCTGCATTTATAACTTATATTTATCTATGTAAAGAAATAGTTTAAGGTTGCCTCTATACCATGATAATTTTTTTTGTAGTTTCAAGTTTTTATTTAAATTCCTGTTAGTTAACATATAGTGTGATATTAGTTTCAGGTGTACTATACAGTGATTTTTTTTAAGATTTTATTTATTTATCCATGAGAGACACAGAGAGAAAGAGAGGGGCACAGACACAGGCAGAGGGAGAAGTAGGCTCCATGCAGGGAGCCTGATGTGGGACTTTATCCTGGGTCTCCAGGATCACACGCTGGGCTGAAGTGGTGCTAAACCATTGAGCCACCCGGGCTGCCTGTACAATACAGTGATTTAACATTTCCATACAACATCTGGTGCTCATCACAACAAGTGAACTCATTAATCCCTATCCCTTGTTTAACCCATCCCCCTGCCCACCTTCCCTCCATCAACCCTCAGTCTGAGTTATGAATATTTAAGAGTCTGTTTTATGGTTTGCTTCTGTCTCTCTCTGTCTTTTTTCACCCCTGCGTTCATCTGGATTTTTCTTAAATTCTACATATGAGTGAAGTCATATGGTATTTGTCTTTCTCTGACTGACTTCTTTTACTTAGCATAATACTCTCTAGCTCTATCTACATCACTGCAAATGGCAATATTTCATTCTTTTTCATGGTTGAGCAATATTCCATATATATGTATATTATACACAACACTATAAAACTTCTCTATCCAATCACACATACATAATATATGTATATAAATATACACACACACTATATCCTTTCACACTATGACTTCTCTATCCATTCACACATATTATATATATGTATATATATAATACACATACACAAACTACACACAGTTATATATATATATATATATATATATATATATATATATATATATATAATACACACACACACATACTACAACTTCTCTATCTATTCATTAGTTGATGAACATTTGTGCTTTCTTCATAATTTGGCTGTTGATAATGCTGTTATAAACATCAGGGTCTGTGTATCCCATTGAATCTGTATTTTTGTATTCTTTGGGTAATTACCTAGTAGTGAAATTCCCATATCATAGCATAGCTTTATTTTTAATTTTTTAGGGACCTTCCATACTGTTTTTCAGGGTGGCTACTCCAGTTTGTGTACCATGCTAATCTAATCAAGCATTGACATGATTAGGAACTTAATTTCAGTTCATAGGAAGGGGTAAATATTTAAGGTTCACTCTAGTCCTAACATATTGTTCAGTCTCAGTTTTGGTCAAAATCATTGGAAATTTCTAACTTTCATTTGGGGTTACCTGAGCTCATGAGTCTCATCAGCCTCTCTTTTGGATTCAACAATATCCCTAATCTAAAAGTAGTCACAAATTCTATGACTTTGTTGTTGTTGTTAAAACCTCCCCGACATTTTGGCCATAGTAATTTCTGGACATTTTCACATATATTTTCTTTACCTAAATTTTCTAGACAAAAAAGAAATTTCCAAATAATATTTTCATTTATAAGCATATTAATTTTTATCTTATTCCCCCTTAGGAATAAGCTTAAAATTCCTAACCAATTCTTGGATGGAAGATTTATCTTATAATATATTAAAGAGTGGCTAGAATAGATGAGAAATAAGAGTAAGAGTGTCCAATGACAAAATTATTTTACTTTAAATATTTATTTATTTATTTATTTATTTATTTATTTATTTATTTATTTATTTATGTTAGAAAGAGTAGGGGGCCAGGGGAAAAGCAGAAGGAGAGTCTTAACTCCAAGCTGAGTGCTGAGCCCAACCTGAGACTTGATTTCATAGTTCTGAGATCAGGAACTGAGCCAAGACCAAGAATCAGAGGCTTAACCAACTGTGCTATGCAGGCATCCCACAAACCTATTTTAAAAGTTTGAATGGATGCAATGGAAACACGAACTATTGCAATTTAAAATATAATACCCCTAAATAAGTAACCAAAATGTGGGACGCCTGGGTAGCTCAGCGGTTGAGTGTCTGCCTTTGGCTCAGGGCGTGATCCCAGATTCCCACGATCGAGTCCCATATCAGGCTCCTTGCATGGAGCTTGTTTCTCCTCCCTCTCTCTGTGTCTCTGCCTCTCTTTCTGTGTCTCTCCTAAATAAATAAAAATCTTTTAAAAAAAGAAGTAAATAAAATGTAATACCTCTAAATGATTGAGGGGCAGTTACTTAACTATTTTTAACCATGTTTGTTTTTCTCACACTGTATAAAATCTTCAATTGTAAGTTAACCAAATTTCCATTCATTCCTTGAATATAAAAATAATTTTCAGTCTTTTCTACTTTGCTTATTTTATTTCATCTGCCCAGATTTCCCCTTTGACCCTTCTAATACTGTTATGTCTTTGCAATTCTAAATAAATTTCACCTTTTAAGATGCTATGGGACAGGTATTCTTTATAAGTTCCTTATTCTTTCTGCATCTCCCTTTTCTTGCATTTAATATAACAGATTCATAATGTGTATCTTTCTCCAAGGGCTGTTGTACAGCTTAAAGAAATAAGGTGCAAGCACATTTACTAAACATATGTTAACTCTTTTTGTTCTCAGTTTTAGGTTCTTTATCAAAATCTATTTTTGCACTTTGTTATTCCTGAAAATACTTTGCCTGAGATAACAGACAATATTACCATGAAAAAGAGAAGTAATGTTTCCCCATTTTTTTGTTGAGATACACATTAAATCATCACTCCTGATGGTATCAAATGTTAATTATCTTTTAGTTTGAAACATGAGTAAAAACCAATGTGGAAATCATCCTTATGATTTTAGATTCTTCACTCAAATTTTGTGGTATTGTTCATTACACATATGGAGATAAGACCATGTTGAATACTCATCAGTGAGATGCAGGTGTTTATCACTTTTATCAAGAAATGGTAGGTGACTTCAAGCAAAATAACTTAAAATTCATACATAATCATTTTCATTTGTCTTCTATTCAATTTTTCTTTTATGTATAAGCCTAACGATATAAATGTAAATATTATTTTTGTTCTCTGCATTCCTTATATAACTATCAACTAGTCTGCTGCATTATGCTTGTTGGCGTTCCCACATCTTGTGAGGGAATCAATTTAATTCCTGAGTCAAATTTCAATTCATAAAAGTCTATGTACTTAAAGAATAGTTTACTACTACTTGTAGTTAAAGTAAGAAAAATATCTGAGGTCCCTCAAAATTCAAATCCTCAATTTCTTAGGATTTCAAAGTATTTCAGGTGCATATTGATCTTTTAATAATATCATCATTATCTATCACAATCAAAAGCCTAGTCAAGAAATAACTAACAACAATAAACGTAGCTGGTTATCAGAACTAGTAAATTGGTTAGATTATAATGATTTGGCTTTTAATATAATTTTGAAAGAAAATCCAATAACAAATTTTATCTCCAATGCAGACTTTAGATTTTATTTTCAATTAGTGCATTAATTACAGAATTTTTCAAATAAAGTCTGTCAGCCACTATTTGGGGCCAGAGACAAGGTAAAGATTTGATAATCAAAGATCTTCCTATAGGTGACAGAGATAATAAAGATTATGAGTAAAAGCACTGGTGAGATTGGACAACAAGATTAGAAATTTAATAAGGTGATCAGAAGAAGCCAGATCCACATGTTGGTCTATAACAAGAAGGCTGACAGCTCCTAGAAGCCAAGTAGGTTGAGGGGCAGAATCTGGATCCATTGCCCAGAGAAGGGAAGCCACAGACTCTGTAACTCATGGGTCTTAAACCCTGGGATCCACAGCCCACTGAGTAGCAGCTTCTGGATCCATAGCCCAGGGAACGGCAGCTGCTGGACCCCAAACCCAGAGACCCAGAGCAAGTCGTCTGGGAGGGACTGCAGAGCGTGGAGGTCCTCGGGCGGTAGCAGGATGTCAGGGAAGGTCTGGACACCACACAGGATGTCTGGCAGCTGGTGGGCTCACAGCAGGTCTCCTGACAGCCACTGTGGAGGGAGGAGCCCACCTGGCAGGTGCTGGGAGAGCAGACTTCAGTGCGGTAGACCAGGTTGCTGGGGTGGGATGAGCCACAGGAGGAGCTGGGGTAACGCAGGTATCCCCCAAAGGAGCGGGAAGAGAAGTTTCCAGAGCAGCAGCTGTAGGACATGTTGGCAGGAGATGTGAGTTCAGCTGACTGACAGTGAGAAGATTCTATGTTTGAATATATTACTCCTCAAGTGAGGCATTTATATACTCTCAGGAATGGGTGTGGCACTTTACAGGGTCATCTTTTCCAAATTTGGAGTCCCTCATTTGCATATGTTTAATGCAGTAGTCCTTTTTGTAATTGGAGTTCACTACCTCTCTTCATCTTTCGTTTATGGGTTCACTCATTTTGTTTTTACAGCTCTATGTCAATGAAGTAAATCTATGTTACAAATGCTATGATGGTGTGTAATTAATATCTACCCCATCATGGCCAGGGAAGCCCCTCTGATTTTTCTGGTCATGACTACTTACATGTGCTCAGCTTTGGCTGAGGAATGCTTTCTTCCTAGGGTGGGGATTACAGTGCAGTCATCTCCCTTTTGTGTCAGTGACTGAGAAGCAGAAATCTGGTCTTAAGGAACCTTCTAAAGATTGTTCCTACATCCAACCATTGATTCACACTCTCTAATATAATTTTGCTTCTATTACTTCCTACTAGAAATGCTTACTATATCCAGTCTAGAGGGCTGTTATAAAAGTAAGCCAAGAGGATTGACAGAGACAATTAGAAGTGGGCATAATCCTGAACAAATATGTTGTAAAAATTTAGTCTTTAGAAAAATGAAATCTAATCTAAAGCAAGAAGAAACCAATATGAACACATGTGAAGAAAACTGAAGTAGGAGATGCTATTGAGATGAAATGAGGAAACAAGGGACAGTGGTAGAGAGAGGGACAAGACTGTCAAGATTTTCTTCTACCCCATTGGGTGATTTACGAATATTCTACTTCTTAGTTCAGTCATATCAAATTGTTTCAAAATGAAACAAATTAAGTCAATTCATGAGTTTTGTGCAATACATTTATATGTGTGAAACATTGTGAGGGCTACCCTCCCACAATACCTCAAAATTTTGAATGTTCTCTGTTTCCAAGGTCATGGCAGATCCTATCATTTTCTCCCTACTTTTGGTACATGCTTCTGTCTCAGCTTTCTTACTAGAGGGGATCCAGGTTATGTGAATCTTGAAGTTTATAACTTGGGGGCACTTTTTTTAAGAAAAAGAATACACCATTATGAACATAATAGTAGATAAAAATATGAACACTAATTTAGAATAAAACAATATTAATAAATACAAATTACAAGATGAGAAAAACAAATATCACAAAATCAAGACAATAATATGATATCGTCATAATCATTACCATCATCTATAACATTTCCTCTATTTTTATTGGCTACATAGTCTTTGATCACTTTTACATATGACAATAATTTTATAAACATGATTTTCTTTACAAAGAATAGAATATAATTCAGGTTTTCTTCTAAAATTATGAATCAAAAAATTATTTTTGATGGCACAGAAAAGTTCCTTTCAACATTACTATTTATTATTAATGCCACATCTGTAACATCCTGTATAGTTTCTTCTCAGTTGGTGCTTCAATCCTGGGATTATGATTATCTCAGTCTGGTGTCCCTGATTCACCTTCTTATCCCAGTCTGCTGGCCCTAGAGGTTGTGGACTTATGTAAAAATTAGCTATAGGGATGCCTGGGTGGCTCAGCGGTTGAACATCTGCCTTTGGCTCAGGGCGTGATCCCAGGGTCCTGGGATGGAGTCCTACATCAGGCTCCTTGTTGGGGGCCTGCTTCTCCCTCTGCCTATGTCTCTGCCTCTCTTTCTGTGTCTCTTATGGATAAATAAATAAAATCTTTAAAAAAATCAGCCACAAATGGCTATGGACCCTTGGTTTTAGTGATCTATCAGGTAGCAGAGTAATGTCTTAGTTCTAATCCTTCTTCTTAAAGTCAAAACTCTCTGAAGTGCTGAGGTTCATAAGGTTGATTCTAGAGGCTAGAGGTAGTACAGGCAGTTTTCTGGATCCACCCAGAGCTCCAGAACTACTTCAAGGGCAAATAATTGACTCTCAGACTACAGCAGCACAACTGGAGCAGTGGATTCCTCCAAACCTCCCTTGGAAAAAGTCAGACAAAAAATGACCCTTCCACCAAAGCTTCATTAGGTTAAATCTCTGTCTTCACTTAAGTTGCTCTATCCAAGATGCTTGAACATGTGCTGATCATGTTCTGTCTGAGATATCAGGGACTCACGTAGAGTGCCCAGGTCTCTCTTCAATATACTTTCCATGGAAATGTCTCTGCCCAAAGCCCTAACTTAACTTTCAATAATTGTATTGTTGTGATTTGTTATTGTTTTTGTTATTTGCCTCTGGTCCTCTTTAACGCTAGTTTTTTTTTTAAAGGAAATGATAGATTTATCACATTTTTTGAGTATATTGCTGTTTCCTACCAATTTCAAGATGAATGCACCAATGTAACGTACACCAAAAGTCAATTATGTGGTATCAGGCACTCAGAAAGTATACTGCTATGGCTTAAGGATTGAGTTGCAACTCTATTTGAAAAAATTACAATACAATTCTACTGTATGTGCTTAAATTAACAACTTTTCCTCAATGTAAAAGTAGGTTTCACTGCAATTTTACAAAAGAAAACACTGTATATAGGACTTCCATAAGTCCAAGAAATGATGAAGTAACTTCATTCACATCAAACAAATACTTTTAAAAAATTTATGTTATGATCTTTTAAATTTCTAGATGTTTTTTTCCTAATGGTTTCTAGCCACTGAGATAAAAGTGCACTCGATGCTGTGAACACCATGCCTTTCTCAAATAACTGTTTTTCAAAGAACTTCTTGAAAATAGTTGTCTTATCACAAGTAAGAGTGATTTTTGCTCACTGGAGATAGGACTTTATTAACCAAAATAATAAAGTCAGCAAAATTTGTCTATGGTGACACAACCTTTTGGCTGCCCTCACAGGCACACGATGTTGTCCTCTTCCTTATACATCTGACCTTCCTCAAGTCAATGTGATAGTGTTGATATTAGCTGAAATAACCAATCACACACCCCAAGGTCCTCTACCAAATCCAGCCCACACAGGTTTGTTCATCACACAAGCGTGGAACTACCCCCCCCCCACAGGTTTTTTTTTATTAAACTCTAAATTACTCGCCAATATTTAAAAATAAAAATTCATGCATATATCAATTTCTGACATCTTTTAAAAATTCTGAAAATCTGGCTTTGCTGGGATCCTTGCTTGCAGGTGTCTGGAACTCACTACAAGCAGTTCCATTCATAGAGGATGGGCTCCCCAAAATTCCCAAGTTCAGCTACTCCTCTTTATTTTATAGCTATGGGGCCAAATTTCAGCTATCATTAGTCATAAAGCATGTGCTATCATTTTCCTGTATTAATTAATGTCTCTTTCATAAATAAGAGAACAAGAGGTAAATTGAGAGGCTATGGGTTTTAAGATATTTTGTGAAAACAACTTCCCTGTGCACTTGAAGGATACTCTTCTATGTTTAATAGGAAAATATAATGCGTCTGTGTTGGTGGACTGGAATATAAAACACCAATCATGAAACAAATGACAGGTCAACCGGACCAACTCACTTATGCTTATGATCCTCAATTTAAAATACATGCCCGCAGAACTTGACATGGTTTTTATATACTGGGCAATGACTTAAATCAGTGGTGTCTTACTTCTGAATATGCAACAGAATTAACAAACGAATCATTTTAGAACATACAAACCAATCAGAAAATAAATACACAATTTTATCAACCAAATGATTGTACTCCTCCTCAGGCTGCTCCGTATGTGATTCTGATGTACTACCATGGTTAGATTAATGGGTTAACAAAATTAAACTAATTAAATTAAGTTAAATCAAATTATTAAACTAAAGGGTTAACATCTAGTCAGGAGCCCACAGGAGATGTCATAGCCGTTGTGACATCATACTATATGCCTGACAACTGTAACCATCTCTGTACAGGGATCGTCTTTTAAGAATATGAAGTATAACATTACAGAGAAAAGGACATCTATTTTCTCTTTATAACGTCATAATTCTATTGTAATGGGCAGTTCCTTCTAATAATATGCTACCCCCTCTCTTCTTGTTGCTGTGCAGATATAATAGCTGTTATGAATGCTGTTGTTTGGAAATGTTGAAGATGGATTTAGTAGCATTAATATCCATCCTGCAAGATGCAGCATCCTAGGGTTTGAACAAAGGCTCTGTGTCACTACCCAGTGACATTGTGCAGATGGCCTCATGATGAGTAGTAACGACTCACCATAAATACAGGAGAGAAGAATAGCAATTTTGACAGACTGTGATAGCTAAAATTGGAAAGCAGAATAAAAAAGGCATTTGAGTTAGAAATCAGATGTTAAATGTACGAGTGGAACTAAAATGGTCTGTGGTAAATAGTAGGCACTCTATAGACATGTTGATTGAATGAAAAGGGAAATTTTCTTAATGTTTTAAATGTCTTAAATGAACTAGATATGTCACCTAAGAAAATTATGTAAATATTAACTACTTTTGTGTGTTCTTTCTTTGGCAGCTTAATGAAGGTTGACTATATGTATATACTGGACATGGAGGTTTTTCTACTCAGATGTCACAGGTCAGCTAAGACCCACGGGCTTAAAGTTTTCCAGATGATATCAAGTCTTGACCTAGTGGAAAGTAGTGAGAGGAGGAGAAAAAGCACAGGTGAGCAGAAGTGTGTGTGTGTGTGTGTGTGTGTGTGTGTGTGTGTGTGTGTATGCAACTTCGTCTCCTGCCACAGAAGAGGTCTGGCCTCTTCCTCATGCTGGAATATCACCATCTCCTGCCTCATTTCTCTCTTTCCCCAGACTTTACTGACTGAAGGCAGAAGGAGTAGAATACGAGGAAGCAACTCCATATTTACTCTGCATTTATTCACCTAACCTCTGGAAGTTGACAAAGGGTTAGGGGAGCTCTCTCTGGAAGGTGACATAGGGTTAGGTGAGCCTCTGGAAGGTGACATAAGGTTAGGTGAGCTCTCTGTTCGCAAATTTCCTTCATCTCCAGTTCAGGGGTAGAGGGGAGGGTACCTGTGTGGGCATGGGGTATGGCATGGAGAGAAGAAC